GCTCCTCAACGCACGAGCTTAAACTGCAAGTTATAATGCTCCTCAATGCACGAGCCTAAACTGCATGTTGCAATGCTCCTCAACGTACGAGCCTAAATTGCAAGTTATAATGCTTCTTAGTATATGAGTATATATTGTATGTCACGAAGCTTCCCAATTTTGAACTAAATCTTTAAGGCGTAAAGCTCTTCAAATTTGGGCAAAGTGTTCAAGTCGCAAAGCTCTTCAAATTCGAGCAAAGTCTTCAAGTTGTAAAGCTCTTCAAGTTTGGGCAAAGTATTCAAGTCGCAAAGCTCTTCAAATAGGAGTAAAGACTCAAGTCGAAAGCTCTTCAAAGTCGAGAAATAACTTCAAATCGCAAAGTTATTCAAATTCGAGCCAAACTTCAAGATGTAAAGATCTTCAAATTCGGCAAAGTCTTCAAGTTATAAAGCTCTTCAAAGTCGAGCAAAGTGTTCAAATTGCAAAACTCTTCAACTTTGAGCTAAATCTTCAAGTCACGAAGCTCTTCAAATTCGAGTGGAACTTCAAGTTGCAAAACTCTTCAAAATTGAGCAAGTCTTAAAGTAGCGAATCATTTCGAATTGTAAGCTAAATCTTCAAATTACAACGCTCCTAGATGCACGAGTCTAAACTGCAGGTCATAGATCTCTTAAAATTCGAGCAAAATCTTCAAGTTGCAAAGCTCCTCAAAACACGAGTTTAAATTGCAAGTCGCTACGCTCCTTGACGCACGAGCCTAAACTGCATGTTCCTATACTCCTGGCCCGCATGAGTCTAAACTGTGTACGGCCAAAAAATAAAAGTCCGCTAGATTGAAAACCTCAAAATAGGCGGCCTAGTCAAAAGTTAGGACATAAAAAATAAAATAAAAATTACCCATTCTGAACTACGGTATGACTTGATCCTCTTTACCGTGGTACGTAGGCAACTTAGAGTTTCATTCTGGGTTCAGTCGCATAAGTTCAAAAGATACATAATCCCCCAATTGTTGTTCGAATGAAGTATGATGGAATGTAATCCATTCAATCAGCACTTGAAAATCGAGCTGAGATACCATTCTTCTGTTAAACTTTGGATCCCATTTGATTTAAAGGGGGAAAGCCGCTATGGTAAATTGGTGTCTTCAATGAAATGATTAATATCTTTTAGGAGGCTGCCAAGAATTTGCATTGAAGTCCGGGGATTCGTTATGTCATTATGTTCGCCAAACCTTCAAGTTTGTTAGTCTTCAAGTCCACCATCCTTCAAGTTGAAGTCTGCAAGTCTGCTAGTCTTTTAAGTTTAAGTATTCAAGCCTCCAAGTCTTCAAGTTGAAGTCTTCAAGTCCTTCAGTCTTCAAGTTGAAGTCCTCTAATTCGCCGGTCTTCAAGTTGAATTATTTAAGCCCTCCAAGTCTTCAAGTCTGCTAATTTTTCAAGTTGAAGTTTAAAAGTCCACCGCTCCTCAGGCTGAAGCGTCAAAGTCCGTCGATTCTTCAAGTCCGCAAAACTTCAAGTTTGTCGATCTTCAAGTTGAAGTATGCAAAGTCCACCAAGTCTTCAAAGTTCGCCAAATGTTCAAGTCGACCAAGTCTTCAAATTGAAGCTTTCTAATTTTTCAATCTTAAGGTGGACATGTTAGTCCATTAGCACCTTAAGTTGGCCTCTTCGCGTATTTGTCCTTAAAAGGAACTATGATTTTCAATCTTAAGGTGGACGTTTAAGTCCCTTTGCACCTTAAGTTGGCCTCTTTGCGCGTTTGACCTTAAAATGAACTATAATTTTCCAGTCTTAAGATGGGCATTTAAGTCCCTTTGCACCTTGAGCTGGTCTCGTCACGGATTTGATCCTTCTATATGCTATTGAGGATCTTGTCCTTTCATAGGTTACCAGGAATTGGTCCTTCTATATGTTGTTGCAAATTTGATACTCCTTTTGATACTTTTATATGCGGTTATGGATTGGATCCTTTTGTATGCTGTTATGGAGTTGATCCTTCTATATGCTGTTATGGATTGATCCTTCTATAAGTTGTTGTAGATTTATCCATCTCTCTCAGAGAGAGAGAGAGAATTTGCTAATGAAGATATCTCCATTACCTACAAAAAGGGAAAGAAACGAACGCAAAGTAAAATGAGGAGAAATTACCGTGACGCAGCTAAGTCAGAATAGCCAAAAGAAAAAGAGGACTCAAAACAGCTCGCAAAGGCAGCAAATTGATGATGACAAGCGTAGAGAATTATGCCATATATATAGGAAAAGCAAATGTGGCTATCAAATAGTGATTTCGATGTGGGACGTTGCGACAATTAGTCTTTGAAAATGACTCGGATAGTTGAAAGGCGGCAGTAAGAGTTTGTTATCAACAAGGATTCGGTAGCAAACTTTGAAGACAAATATCCCTAGTCAACTCCTAAAGGGATTTGGATAAGTGTTAGCATGGTAAAGCAAGCTTGAAATAGCTTGGAATTGAGTTACGTGGAAACTTCTTAAGGCCAATTAAATTGCATTAATTATGAATTGAGCTGAATCTTAATTTATGGCCTTACACGAGCTGTACTAAACATGTCAAGTATAGTTCTCAACTAAAATAATAATAATAACAATAAGAGTTATTTTAAATCTCCAAACTCAAAGGGGACATGAGCAAACAATCACAACTCTCACGTGACTGAGGATTGGAACTTCCGTGTTTCAAGTATTTATTATTTGTAAGATGATTTGGCTCGAGTTTTACGTAAAAAGAGAAGGAATGGCGCTTCGATATTACTTCAATCCTTGTCTTCCAAATTCATCAAAATGTATATTTTGCCACGTCTTGAAGTAGGGGGCATTTGTAGGCAATCGAAATTTTATTGAATTTAAATCCATAAAAAATTTGGATTTAATATCAATTAAATATATTTCGGTCCAAATAAATATTATGGGCTAATATAATTGGATTAATTATATAAGTCCAACACATATGGGTTAAATAAAAAAGTCCAAATCCATTAGGCTAATCCATTTAGTTTGGCTACAAATGATGAGCCCACTTTATTAGGTCCAATATGCCATCTTCCTAGAGGCTCAGTTTGGTGCCATGTGTCAAATGACGTGGCATGCTAAGTCAAATAGAAGAGCCAATAGGATCGTGCCACGTGTCAAAATGACAAGGCATGCCAAGTCAAATAAAAAAGCCAATGAAATCACGCCACGTGTGCAAGTGACATGTTATGACCAATCAAATGGGGCCTTGTCACTCTTCAATCTGATTGGTCGGAAAGAGTTTGTTCTCATCACAACTCTTCCCTTCCACAACTATAAATATGGGTCTTCATAACCTAGAAAAGAGACCAGAAGTTATAACAAGAAGACATAAGGGAGCTCGTGGATGAAAGACCACAATTCTCTGCAAACTGCAAGTGTTCAAGCATTCAAGCACTTCAACACAAATTTCAAGTATCCAAGATCAAGAACGAAGTCAAATCAAATACAAGGCGTTCAAGATCAAGGCTACTTGTTCGTGATAAAATTCGTGGCAACAATCAAAGCGTTCGCGACGGATAAATTAAATTCAAATTCAAGATCAAACTCAAAGGCCCTTGAATTTATGTTGGAAAAGTAGAATTAGAGGATCCATAGAGATTGTAACACGCATATTACTTGAAATCAAATACTATGATTGTTGCAATATTTTTCGGTCTCGATTATTTTCTCAAAGCAAATTTATTGTCTACATGAGTTTCATCAAAAAATTATTCATGATTATGATTCAATTCCTTTAACTTCATAGAGTTTTTTTCAAAAGAAAAAAAAATGATACTTGAAAAGGCTTTATTATTTTATATTCGCCGCACATTGCACCGGTTCTGATACTAGTTCAATTAAGAGATTTTTACATGATAGGTCTCTTATTTAAGAATATTTATATAAATAACATCACTTGTGGTTTGTTTCAATAATGAAAGATTTTTTTACTATTTTGGCAGGTTAAGAAAATAAATAGATCCCACTAAATCAGGAATTTATTTTATTCCCTTATTCCTTATTAAATGTTTCTCTCTCATCTATATGGTAATGAAAATATGAAAAATTCAACCTTTTTGGATTTTGATTTTTTTTTAATTGTTTGGATATTTAGATCTATAAGCATGTATGAAGTAATGTAACTTAAATTCAGTAAATATTTATAAAACGTACATTGTATAACCACATATTTTTTATTTAATAATTTTATATTCTATTATATTTGAATATAACAGTTACAGATTCATCGCATCTTTCTAGAATAAATTTAAAGATTTATGTTATTCTTTTAGTATAAATTTGTCATAATAAATTTAAGAATCCTTTATGCCATGATTTTCTCTTCATTTTCACTATTTTCTCCCCTTTCCACAAAATTTAATCACTAAATAAAATGAAAGGTTTTAAACGTGAAACATTCATGAGTCATTTTTATACTTTATATATAATAGTAATACTTTATAATATTTAAACAACTGCAATGTGCTCTAAATATATAACAACTATACAATAAATATGTGGTATATTTTATATTATAAAATTTAATATTCCGAATATACGTCGTATATATTTATCATATTGAGAAAAAGAATTATATACTATGTATATCCAAATAAAATAATATTTTATACTAATAATATTTAATTTGGACTTCATAATATACTTATTAAATAAATATTAATGTATTATACTAATAATATAATATGTATAATATCTAAATATTATAAATATCACTTATTCATCCAAGCATGCACAGTTATACAAGCATTCATATTTATCAATAAAATATAGTTATACCACCAAATAAAATGTTACCATAATTGAAATAGAGAGAAAGTACCAATAAAATAATAATTAATGATAATTTTATTATTAGATGGGAACTGAAACCCTTTGATTTTATATTTAAGGAAATGAACAGTTTAGATGCGTGATTGTAGGTACGGGTTTAAAGGTTTCTGCTAGGAATATAATTATGTAAAATACCTGCACGTTTGTGAAAATTTTTCTTAAATTTTGTCTATTTATGTTTTTTGCCCTATTTTAATGCCCCAAATTCGGATTCAAGTTTGCAATTACTGGAAACTTCTTAGGTACGTTTCTCTCCCAATCTCTTCGACCTACCGCCAAAATCGAAAGATTCAAATGCCTTAAGCAGAGATCAGCTTCTGAAAGAGTAAAGACGAGTAATGGAGGCCGAGGAGGAGGAGGAGGTTCTTTCGTCGTCAGAACGTGATGATTCGAGCGACGAATTCCTTTGCGAGCCCGATGATGACATCGATTTCGAATCTAATAGCGGCGATGATGACCAGAATGTAGAATCTCACGCGGGTACCAGTTCGCCTGATGAAGATCGAAAATCGCAAAATGTTGATGCTCTTGTGAGGTAGAGTCAATTATTCATTTATTCTTTGCTTGCAAAGACCTAGCATATAAGTAGTAGGTGGATAAAACTGCTCTTTGAGGACGGTGGAGACCTTTGGTTAAACTAGGGTTTCGCAGTTATTCATATGTTATTGTGACAGAAGCTGTTTGTTTTGTCAATCGCACTGGCTCATGTCAGCAAAGAGTTCTGAGAGTAGCAGTTAAATATGGATTAACTATGCCTAAATCCCAAACTAGTTAGGGGCGGTTATATGAATCTTCTATTTCCCTTCTGCTGAGTTTGGCCAAGTGCTCCCTCTATCCCAATTTATGTGATGATATTTTCTTTTTAGTCTGTCCCAAAAAATGATACGTTTCTATATTTAGAAATAATTTAGCATTAAACTTCCTATTTTTTCCGCAATTAGATGATTTTTAGCCACACAAGTATTTATGGCTTGTTTCCAACCACAAAATTTCAAAAGTCTTTGTCTTTCTTAAACTCGATCAAACACTATCTTATAAATTGGGACGGAGGAATTACTAAATAAATTTGTCTTTTAGGCAAATTAGGGGGAACTCTAACAGCAGCTCTATACAATTTGAAGTTTGTACCAATGTTCTGATCCAAGTCTTTCCTGCAGAGTTATTGGAATGCACATTTCACTTTTTGTGCAAAATGAATTAATACTTTTTGAATTCTGATAGATCACTAATGCTGAAGGGAAACTATTTAGGAATCTTATAACATGGATCTAAGATATCCTGATTGTGATGAAATCAGGGGTAATCTTATTGTGAAAAGACAATCCCTACTTCCACGAGTCTATTCAGTGACAGATGCAGCAGCCAATCTCCGAAAGCCATTCAAACCTCCAAGCTCCAATGGTTACAGTAGTACCAATGAGCATCTAGCCCGTCGTCTTTGTGCTCGTAAAAGGTTTGTGCCATGGGGGTCAACAAGGCCAGTGTTGCTTGCAATTACAAACAGGCTGCACGCTCCAGAAGCTGCTGAGATAGATGCGGTGGAAGAAAATGTAGAACTGCCACCTGGTGTTGAAGCTTTGGTGTTGTGGCAGCCTGAAGAAATTGTGGAGGAAGGCTGTAATTTAGTACCTATAATTGTGGATCCATTGCTTGTTAAGTTCCTTCGTCCTCATCAAAGGTACTTCATGATATAGGGTGTATCTGATTATTTGCATGTGATATTTAATGGTGCAATGTTGAATTAAGTGCATGAATGAAAGGGCAATGTTAGAATTGGAAGCTATGGACTTAAATGTATCTTAGTATGATGCCCTCAAAAGATTCCTCATATTGTCTGATTAGGTTACTTTGTACCATTTTAGTTCATGATATTCATATGGAATTTGCAACATTAAGCTGATGATATGCATCAGTAAGTTGATAAATTTTTCGCTCCTCGTCATAACTCCAAAAAGAACATTTATATTATTTGCTGAACTTCAACCTTCTACTTAATCTTAACACCATTGTAGTATTCAGTCTTCTTTTAAATGAATTTCAAACGCCCTAAGCAGCACCGAGAAACTCTTAAATTTGACTTTTTTTAGCATGCATGCAGCATCTAAGTCATTTAAAGACTATACTTGATTTTACTTGCAGGGAAGGGGTCCAGTTCATGTTTGATTGTGTCTCGGGTGCACTTAGTACCTTCAACATTAATGGGTGCATTTTAGCTGATGATATGGGGTAAAGTGTTTCTGATTATTCTCCCAGACTTCGTGCCTCTAAGTTGAGCGGGATTAGGTATTTTGTTTTGGCTTATTGGCTGCTCTTATTGTTTTTGTGCAGTTTAGGGAAGACTCTGCAATCAATCACTCTACTTTACACTCTTCTTCGCCAGGGATTTGATGGAAAACCAATGGTCAGGAAGGCAATAGTTGTGACCCCTACCAGTCTCGTTAGTAATTGGGAGGCCGAAATCAATAAGTGGGTTGGAGAAAGAGTTAAGCTTGTTGCTTTATGTGAAAGCACCAGAGATGATGTTGTGTCTGGCATAGAAAGTTTTATTAATTCACTTAGTAATTTACAGGTAAATTTTTCTGACCTATCCAATTTGCAGTTATGGCTAAGGGTTAGCAATTCATATAATGTTCTCGCAGGTCTTAATTGTTTCCTACGAGACATTTCGAATGCATTCTTCAAAATTTAGTAATTCTGGATCATGTGACCTTCTCATATGTGATGAGGCTCACAGACTGAAAAATGATCAAACGCTGACTAATCGAGTAAGACATATTTACTTATTCTGATGACCTAGATTTCCTTTTGTGGATGAATTAGAATCTTTGTTAAGCCTGATTAAAAACTTGTGATTAGGCGTTGGCTGCTTTAGCTTGCAAGCGCCGGGTTCTGCTATCAGGGACACCAATGCAAGTGAGATCCTATCAGACTTTTCCTTTAATATCTGTTATTAACATAATCTGGTTTTGCTGTTTGATGCATTTTTCTTTCTTCCAGAATGATCTAGAAGAGTTTTATGCTATGGTTAATTTCACCAATCCTGGTATCTTGGGCGATGCTGCACACTTTCGGCGTTATTACGAGGTGACCTTACTACTTGAATACACTGAAAGTTAACGTGAATTCTAGTGTCCTTATTCTTTTCCCACAACTTTGTGGGGTTAAGGAACAACATAAGCTTTTTATCATATCAGCAGTGAATGCACACTCCATCTTATCTTTTATTCTCTGGGTAAGGACAAATATATTTTTCGGGGTAAGGAGAAATATATTGGTTGTTACTCTTTCTTTCAGTATATAAGTATTTAATCTAATTGTGTTTTTTATCCAACTGTTTGTAGGCACCAATAATTTGTGGTAGGGAACCCACTGCTGTCGAGGAAGAGAAGAAATTAGGATCTGACCGCTCTGCTGAACTGAGTTCCAAAGTTAATCAGGCAAGTTTTTCACTGAAAAGCATGCGGTGTCAGAATTTCGACTAGTTTATTTGCTGCTTAGCAATTCTACACCCAAAAATCCAGTGTAGAAAAGATAGATATATGATGGAAATATCACTCTATGGACTTAGAAGGCTTGAAACCAGTCCATAATCTTTTTGTTTTCCTTTAGGAAGCAAAAGGTTAAATCATTAAATTCGGGAAATCGAAAATATTCAAGAAATGAAATATAATCAGACATGACAGAAATTAATTAGTAAAAGTTAGTGCAAATTGGATTTGACTAGGAAATCCACTCCTTGCAGAATTAGATGCCTGTCTCTTGACTAAAGCAACATGTTAGGGACCTAAAATCTGGTAAATGCTCACATTGTACTGATTTTTTTTCTGATGAAGTAAGGTGTTATATCACTGGAATCAAGAAGAGGCAAAAGAGTACAAAAGAAGTTTGGTTAGCTCCTATTACAAGAATTCATATATCTAGAACAGGGAGTTAACCAAGACCAGAAAGTTGGTTTGTATGCCAAAGTAAGAGAACTAATGAAATCTAGAAGGGGGATACCATCATTTACAGGGGTTAAGTTGCTCCAACTGAAAAGATTCATCATCCACCTAGATTTGAAGGAACAGTTAGGAGTTGAAATGACATCATCAAAGCATCTGTGATTTCTTTGTGTCCAGATACACCAAAAAATACATGTTGGGGTCATATGCCAGATCTTCTTGATGGTTCTGTCAATTTTCCAAATGCTCCAACTTTCAACTTTTTCCTTTATATTCTATGGAATTGTTCAGCTAATGCCAAAAACTGATAGGAACATGTGCCATAGATCAGCAGTACAATGCAAAAATAGGTGGTTGACTGATTCTGAGCTGTCTTGGCAAATATAACATCTATTCACCAGCTGGAAGTTTGTTACGGTCCCCTGCTATCTAGTTATGGGACGATGCAGACCAAATCATAGTTAATATGGAGTAAATTAGGAGTTTGGGAAGATGTTTTCTTTTTGCGACCTATGGCGCTGGTTCGTTAAGAAAGAACCTGCAACTCTTGAGTTAAAGTACTCCAAGACTGGAATAAATTTCTATCTACCTTTCACTGAATTCAAATAACTTTAAATAAAAACACTGATGGATTAACCACCCACCTAAAAATTGTGAAATAACTTCCTAACACAACTGGAATGAGAAAGTGGCTTACCAGTGATAACCGCTACTACTAATAATTGCTACAGGAAATATATGAACATAACTAACAGATGCATGAAGTTGCTGAACTCATCTACTTCCTGATCTTCTGAAACATTCAATGTGTAAATGTTTGGTAGACTAAAGGGGTGCTAACATTACTCCCCTTCTTCAAATCGCGCTTGTCCTCAAGCGAGAAATGTGGGAAGTGTTGTTGGTAGACAAATCAGTGCAAGGATTTGACTCTTGTGCGTCAGATTCTTTCTCCTCTTCCTCTACAGATTCAATCCAGAATAATTTCTTGCATTGATGGCCCCGGGTGAATGGGTCATAACTATTAAAACAAAGTCCCTTAAGGCATCTTTCCTCCATCTTAGATCTGGTCAATTTCTTTACAAATCTGGTGTGTTGTTGAGGTGAGAAATCTACTGTCTTTGATCTACAGACATCTGATAATTCCGAATGAAGGGGTTATCCCTTGCGTTCATAAAGCCGGGACATACTCATTACCGTAGCCAAATCTGGAGGATTATGCAACTCCACTTCAGTTTCTATATAGTCAGCAAGACCATTGATATAAAGTTCAATTTTTTGCATCTGTGTGAGGGTATTGGCCTACGAAATCAATTGCTCAAACTTTTCCTCGTAATCTGCCACAGACCCGACCTGGCACAACTTGGCCAATTCTCCCAACTTCTAACTTCTGATTGGTGGCCCAAAACAAAGGTTATATTAACGTTTGAATTCATCCCAAGACGGTTGAGGCATATTTGTCTCTAGTTGAAGGAACCAGAGTTGTACATTCCCCTCCAAATGAAAAGAAGCAAGTCCAACCTTTTCTTCTTCTGCAGTTTGCTGGTGTCGAAAGAAGTGTTCGCACCTGTCAACCATCCCAAAGGGGTCCTCTTGGCCACTAATACGTGGGAAATCCAACTTTGTATATCTAGGAATGCTGGAACTTCCTCTAGTTTCTGATCCTGACCTTTCTGCCACTTCAGCTTTACCCTTCCAACCTCGATTATGACTGGTACTTTCAGTTGATTCAGAATCGGCCTTCGAATTTGCTAAATCCTTTGTGATTGCATCCAAGCGAGCATTTATGGCTTCCTGTCCGGCTAAATTGGGTGCACGTTCTTCTTGGAACAAGTTCATAGTACCAGTTGTTGTTGGATTTGGTCTCTCATAACTCCCGTCGTTGATACCAAGTTGTTACAGTCCCCTGTTACGGATCTAGTTATGGGACGACCCTAAGATCAGATCAGACTTAATATGGAGTAAATTAGGAGTTTGGGAAGAGATTTTCTTTTTGCGACCTATGGTGCTGGTTCGTTAAGAGAGAACCCGCAATCTCTTGAGTTAAAATACCCAAAAACTGGAATAATTTCTTCCTACCTTTGACTGAATTCAAATAACTTTAAATACAAACACTGATGGATTAACCACCCACATACAATTGGGAAATAACTTCCTAACACAACTGGAATGAGAAAGTGGCCTACTACTAATAACTGCTGCCTACTAATTACTGCTATAGGACATATATGAATATAAACAGATGCCTGAAGTTGCTGAACTCATCTACTTCCTGATCTTCTGAAACTTTCCATGTGTAAATGTTTGGTAGACTAAAAGGGTGCTAACAAAGTTCCTTCTACATGGATTGTCTTGGATCGGATAGCATCTTTGAGGGCTGTCCATGTAAAGCACATGACTCTTGTAGGGAGTTTTGACTTCCATATCAGCTTCCAGGGCCAATGTTCAATCACTTCATTAGGTGCACACAATTTGTTGTACCCTACCTTCACTGAATATGAACCTTTACTGGAGTTGCCCCACCTTAGTCCGTTGTTGACTTGTGAGTTCATTCTGAAGCCTTCTAGTATTCTGAAGTGCGTTGAAGTGTTCTCATTTGAAGTATTTTCCCTCGCATGTGATGATTTGAAGTGTTTTCCTGCATATTACTAACAGCCTTTTTTGTTCCTAATGTCAGTTTATTTTGAGGAGGACAAATGCGTTATTGTCAAACCACCTACCACCAAAGGTATGCCTTATCTTTAACTCATTAGATAATGTAACAGAGTGTATTATGAAGAAGTGTTGAATGTGCTAAGAAGATTCGACATTAGAAGAAGCACAATGACTTTATCTACTGCACTTTTTGCTACTCTATAGGATCTGTTATTTTGTGTAGACTGTTGTTTGAGGTACTAATTACATGATAAACTGCCAAGTTGTGATTTTGGCATCTAGGGCAAACTCCTTTCGTCTCCTGTATGTTTGACTAACAAAATTCGGACCAAGTAGAGTAGTAATAACTTTATTATACTCGAATTATTAAGTGACTTTTTGGAGTTTAATACGGCTTTTGACTGTGTTCTCTTCCTTACGATGGTGCAGCAGAACAGTTAACTCAATACTACAAAAAAGAAAAAAAACTAAATGAAAAGAATGTCATTTAGGTGTTAAAGCAATGCAAGTAAAAAAGAAATCAAAAGTTTTACCTCAAAAAATCTTTACTCATTTATACTGTTCAGAAAAAAGAATGTCTTCTCATTTATCTAGATAGTAATTATATGTTGGTAGTATTTTGATCTTCTGAAGGTTCTAAGTGAAATCACTCTTTTACTCTGCAGATAATCGAAGTTGTTTGTTGCAAGTTGACACCTCTCCAATCAGATCTATACAATCATTTTATACATTCGAAAAATGTACAATTCTTATTTGTTGTAGCTTTTTCTCATGTGGAGTATTTATATCATTTAGCTCTTCTCTAGGATAATTTAGTTTGTTTTTGTTCTACCACTACCAAGTACAGGTGAAACGAGCTATCACTGAAGAAGCAAAGCAATCAAAAATCTTAGCTTATATAACAGCTCTGAAGAAGCTTTGCAATCATCCGAAGGTGAGCTATCATTGGCTCATAGTTTCTCAAGTCTATTCATTTGTAACAACTATACTGCTTATTGTCTAAAAAAAGTATACTGGCATTGGGTCTTCTTTTAAGATACCAGCAACGCTACAAGGTTTTCCATTTTTTTTGTGTGTGTGTACACTATTAGAGGAAGACAAACAGATTAAAGAAGAGCAACTGATACTTATAAAATGTACCTGAAACCATTGCTTTAATGTTGATGCCTCGAAATGTACCTGAAACTATTGCTTCATGTTGATACCTTGAACATGTACCTGAAACTAATGCTTTATGACAAAAGTAGGTGTTAGAATATTTTGCACTTCCATTGCAAGATAGTGGTGAAGTTAATGGTGGTAACTTATAGGCACTTCCATAGAGGACTAATTCTTTATAATTGAAAATTATGGAAAGATAAACCTCTTGAATTGTCCTTGCTTTACCTTGTTACTTCTTTTTCTCAAATCCTTATTACTTTCATAGCAGAATGTAATCCCAAATAGGAGGTAAGAAATTTCTAATCCAACATAGCGAAAACCATGATATTATCCCTTTTGAATTTGTTAAGTTGATGGTCAGTGCCTGTAGTAACTTCTATAAATGAATATTCCTGAGAATTTAAATTTGGGAGAGCAAAACTTTAGGATAATTCTTCTTGTTGACCTTTTCTTTTTGATATCGAAGAAATTTCCTGTGGGTTTCTTGCCTGACTCCAGCAGCGCACAGGTTAGAAACTCCGGGGAGTATGGGTTTGCCAATTGACCCTCCTTCCAACTTAAACACCACACTTTGTCTACCGCAGGGTTTGAACCTGTAACGTGCACCTAACACCCACATCACGTGTTGGTTCTTTAACACGGGACCTAAGCCCTGGGGTCCTGTCCCCCTTGTGTTAACTTGTTACTGCTTTTCCTTATTACTTTCATACCACATTAAAATGCCAAAAGTTCCTACTCCAACAAAGTCCAAACCATGATATTATCCTTTTGAGTTTAGTCAGTTTTGCAAGTAACAAAACAGTTGCTTACTAATGTCAAATATTTGAAGCTGATATACGACACAATACGAAGTGGAAGTCCAGGGACATCAGGATTTGAGGACTGCATCCGCTTTTTCCCTCCAGAAATGTTTTCTGGAAGGTAAGCTGTTTTAGCCCACTGTCTCTCTGAAAATCGATCTTCAGCTTTTTTCCCAAATAAAGGAATCTTACAAATAATCTGCTAGGTGTGGCTCATGGACTGGCGGATCTGGGTTGTGGGTTGAACTGTCAGGGAAAATGCATGTCGTAGCCCGGCTACTGGCTCAACTTCGTCAGAAAACTGATGATAGGATTGTTTTGGTTTCCAACTACACACAGGTATGGAGGAGCAACTCTATTAACAGAATCAGACGTGTGAAATACAAGTTTTTCTGTTACATGTGTTAGTTTTCTTCGATTTGAATGAATGTTTAGTTTGCTCTGGCTTTAATTTCAGCTTCTGATCACAATTATGAATTAATGTTCTGGGAGGGCTTTTGGGTGGCTTAATGTACTCGCCACTAGTGTTTTCATTAATTAATGGGCCTGTTAAGATCACCAAGTCATTTTTTATACTGTCTAAAAGCATTTGTATTTTTTGATGGGCTCTGTCAGGATAATGTTAGAAAAGAAAGGGAAGATAGTTATTGACGGTGCTTTTGTTGTCATTACCTCAGTCTGGTATAATTTCCATATTTAGTCAATCCTAGGAATTGCACTTCCTTTTGCAGATTTGCTAACTTTGTTCTTCCCTTTCTAACTCTTGGTCGAGTACTCATATGTTTTCTAAAAGTGAGGTACATGCCACAATGATCTTCATCTCCTAAATACCGAATGTTTTTCTCGGTATTACTAATCTGATTTCCATAATTGTAATCGGATCAAGTGGCTGTATTATCTATCTAGTCTCTAGCTCCTTTAGTTACTCGGTTTAATTTCTGCTGGTAAAACTTTAGCATCAGTCAGACAATCAGACTATTTTGATGACTATAACATCTGTTTCATAAGATAGCAAAGGTTAACAGCCTGCTTTCAAGATTCGAACACTGCTATATATCATTATTTATTTGTTTACCTATAATCAACTTTTCTAATGTATAAGTCAGTAACTGAAATCTCACTTTACTTTTCTCTTCTTTCTTTTGCGTCTGTCCTAACTGTGTACGTTGTGAATAATCAGACGCTGGACCTTTTCTCTCAATTATGCCGTGAAAGGAGATATCCCTTCTTAAGACTTGATGGAACTACATCAATTAGTAAAAGACAGAAGCTAGTTAATCGTTTCAATGATCCAACAAAGGTACACGGGGATGTTGTTACACTTTAATTTTTTTTATGCTTTCACAGATTTGGCATTAGCAAGACTTATTTAGTGCATATTTTAGGATGAGTTTGCATTTCTGTTGAGCAGCAAGGCTGGAGGTTGTGGTCTTAATTTGATCGGTGGGAACCGTCTGGTTTTGTTTGATCCTGACTGGAATCCAGCCAATGACAAACAGGTGAAAGCTTTTTCCTGAGAATTACCAAATGATGCCAGAATATATTGCACATCAGGTACATAATTTCCAGATTTTCCAACTCTTCCACAGGCTGCTGCAAGAATCTGGAGAGATGGACAAAAGAAGAGGGTCTACATCTATAGGTTTTTGAGTACTGGAACTATTGAAGAAAAGGTTTGATTGTTAGAAGCATTTGCTTAACAAGTTCCTATTTGCTCTCCTTCTCCATTGAAGAAGCATTATATTTATTTGCAGGTCTACCAACGTCAGATGTCAAAGGAGGGTCTTCAGAAAGTTATTCAGCAGGAACAAATAGATTCTGATATCCAGGTACTGTTTTGGAGTCTCTTATCTTTTCTTACTGTTCTGCTGAAATGTGGTACCAATACGTGATTGCAGGGAAACTTTCTCTCGGCAGAAGACCTGCGGGACCTGTTCACATTTCATGATAGTGTGAGGTATGTTCCTTTGCATTAGCTAGTGCATTAGAAGTCTCCAATACCTACACGGCTCAAGTATTTTTTATCAGTTATTACGGTGAAGTTGGGCATTCCATAGCGTGGAAGTGAAGAGGACTCCAACCCCCTCCCTCTTCTGCTTTAGCATCTGAGACATACCAAAAGGCGTATGTAATGGGATTCAAAGGTAGATCGAGGATTTAAAGGCAGTGGGTACAACTCTTCGCACGTGTGTGTGTGTGTGTGTATGTATACACATCATAATTATTTTCCAAATATTCTGTATACATACATTTAGTTTGAGTTTGCGGCGGTATGTGCAACTACTGCTTATATGCAGGATCTGTCTCTGAGAATTACACACTATCACCCGATTTCCTGTTCTGCATCTTCAAATGAGGAAAAAACATCTGAACACATTGAAGTATGGTTAAGAATTCTACTTTTTCTCTGATCTGTTTCCTTTGGATAAGAAGAAAGATTGTCTGCTATATCGGCGGGGTTAACTTTATAGAAGAAATTACTTATGGCAGCTCAACATTGTGTAGTTCTCATGCAGTGTTTAGAAAAGCGATCGCTTCGTCGCTTTAAGCGCGAAGCGACGCGACGCGACTCAGTGTCGCTTCTAGCTGCCTGAGGCGACTCGACCTAGGGAAGCGCACGCTTCAACGGAGGAAGCGACGAAGCGACGAAGCGAGCAAAGCGACGAAGCGATCGCTTCTGTTAAAAAAGCGACATTGAGTCTGTTTTTTTAAAAAGAGGGCCCTTTTTTAAAAGAAAAAAACTTTGGGTCTGTTTTTTTTATACAAAACAGACCCTAAATTGAAAAATTGGTCATTTCTTCTTCTCTCTTCTACGATCAAGGTCGACCAAAGCCTAGGGTTCTTCATCAACATTTCTGACCAGTCCAGGTAATTTTCTTCTTCTCCTTTCTTCTTCTCTTTTTTTTCTTTCTTCTTTCTTTCTTCTTCTTGGTCCCGTCAGAATCTGTTTTTTTTCTTTCTTTTTCCTTCTTTCTTCCTTCTTCTTTTTCGTTTATCTCTGAGACTCTGACAGTCCAGTACTCCAGTTTGCACTGTTCAGACTTCAGCGACTTCTTCTTCCCTTTATCTCTAACCCATTTTGTTTTTTCCCCCTTTTATTCTTCTTATTTATTACTTTTAATATGTATTTTAGTATATGTTATATTTTTCAGTTTATTTGATTTTTTTAATGTATATTTCAGCATATAAAATTAATTATTATTTATATATGTTATATTTTTCAGTTTATTTGATTAATTTTATATGTATTTCATTTTAGAAAATTAATTATTATATATATGTTATATTTTAGTTTATTTGATTTTTTAATGTATATTTCAGTATATAAAGTTAATTATTATTTATATATGTTATATTTTTCAGTTTATTTGATTAATTTTATATGTATTTCACTTTAGAAAATAAATTATTATTATATTTATATATATATGTTATATTTTAGTTTATTTGATTTTTTAATGTATATTTCAGTATATAAAGTTAATTATTATTTATATATGTTATATTTTTCAGTTTATTTGATTAATTTTATATGTATTTCACTTTAGAAAATTAATTATTTTATATATATATATATATATGTTATATTTTAGTTTATTTGATTTTTTTAATGTATATTTCAGTATATAAAATTAATTATTATTTATATATGTTATATTTTTCAGTTTATTTGATTTTCTTAATGTATTTTTCAGTATATAAAATTAATTATTATATATATGTTATGTTTTCAGTTTATTTGATTAATTTTATATGTATTTCATTTTAGAAAATTATGTATGTTATATTTTAGTTTATTTGATTTTTTTAATGTGTATTTCGGTTTATAAAATTAATTATTATATATATTATACGTATTTTCAGTTTATTTGATTATGTATTTTCTTATATCTTAATAGGGATTTCAAAATGTCTCAAAGATCGAAAGATAAAGACCCGGCTTGGCGATATGGCGATAGAGTTAATGAGAAGAATACAAATATTGTATGCAAGTTTTGTAACAAGATTACAACGGGTGGAATTTATCGCTTTAAATTCCATCTTATTGGTGGCGATAGAAACGTCACAAGTTGTCCGAAATGTCCACCGGAGGTGAGGGATGAAATAAAGAATTTTGTTGAGAAGAAGAAGGAGCAAAAAAATCCAATGAGTCATCAACCATTGGTGACCAATCTTGATGATGATGGTGATGTTGATATTGAAGAATTGTCACTTCCAACAAAACGGGGAAGAGATGCAATCTCTTCAAGCCATGGATCGACGGGTACGAGTAGGACTAAAGGTCCTATAGATTGCTATTTCCCAAAGAAGCCGGAAGGAAAGAGCGGTGGAAAAGATGTACAAAAAATTGCTAAGGACATTTTGAGGGATCGTGCAGTTAGAGCTTTTGCACGATGGGTCTATGATGCTGGGCTCCCCTTCAATTGTGTCAACTATACTGACACTTTTGGAGACTTTATTGAGGCCGTTGGTCAATACGGACCTGGAATGAAGCCTCCCACTTATCATGAAATCAGAGGTCCTTATCTAAATAAGGAAGTGGAGGAGACTAATAAAATTGTGGAGGAACATAAAGTTGCGTGGAACAAGTATGGCTGCTCCATTATGATGGATAAGTGGACGGCAAGAACTGGGAAAATGATTATTAACGTGTTGGTGAATTCTCCCAAGGGAAGTTTGTTTCTTGAGTCCATTGATGCTAGCGACTCATCCACTGACNGAAAACACTGTTCTCATGTTCCTTCATGTTGGAGCGATGATTATTTAAGTAGGTTCAGACATTTTATTATGACCGAGTGTAATCTCATCTTCACGCTCTTCTATAACTTCATATCTCGTATAACCAAAATGCATATTGTCTTTCATATTTATTTCAACTGCAAGTGTCAATACAGGTCTGAGATTCATGAAAAAATGAGCTGCAACCGCTGCCAACCAGATGCAGTGATGCCAGATGACAACCCAATAGCTGATTTCAACACTCAGGGTCTTCAGCCCGACCAAGAGGATATTGGGGGATTTGCAGGTGTAGCTGGTTGTCTTCATGCATTACGAAGCTCGGAGAAACAGGTTGGTTTATATTTCTGTAGCCCAAGTTTCAGTTCTGTAATTTGGTTTTCATGCTAACAAACATCCTTTTCCAGATTGGAGCTCCAAAGGAAGAGGACTTAGCCAGTTGGGGTCATCATTTTTCCCCAAAATCCGTGCCAGATGTAATTTTCCAGTCTGCAGCAGGAGACGAGGTAAGCAGAGGTCAAATTGCTATTACATTGAGCTCAGAACACAACCTCCTCTCCTCCCACGCCCTATAACAACAAACCCCAGTGTATTCCCACAAGTGGGGTTTGGGGAGGGTGGGATGTACGCAGCCTTACCTCTACCGTGGAAAGGCAGAGAGGCTTGTTTCCAATAGACCCTCGGCTGAAGAAAAGAAGAGAAGGAGCACAACGACAAGTAGGAACAACTCAAGATAATAAGAAAACTGAGGCAAAGAAAGCAATCAAACAATAGTTAGTAATAGCAATCTGAGAATAAAACGAACACAAAATATCAAGAACGTTGACGCAAAGATAGTAATCAAACAATGAGTAGCAATATCAATCTAAGAATAAAACGAAACCATACAAACACTAATGCTACTGGACTAAGAAAGAAGAAGAGACACGCTTGACTAACTACTAATCTTCTATTTTAATCCTCGATCTCCACACCCTCCTATCAAGGGGTCATGTCCTCAGTAAGCTCCAACTGCGTCGTGTACTGCCTAATCACCTTTTCCCAATACTTCTTTGGCTTACCTCTACCCCTCCTCATACCCACCAAGGCCAACCTCTCACAGCTCCTAACTGGGGCATCTATACTTCTCCTGTTAACATGCCCGAACCACCTCAGCCTCGCCTCCCGCATCTTATCCTCCACAGGAGCAACTCCCACCTTATCCTGAATGACTTCATTCCTAATCTTATGTAACTTGGTGTGCCCGCACATCCATCTCAACATCCTCATTTCAGCAACTTTTAACTTCTGGACATGGGAGTTCTTGACTGGCCAACACTGTGCCCCATACAACATAAACGGTCTAACCACCACTTTGTAGAACTTACCTTTAATAAGTTCTTGGCAACAATAAAGTAAATGAAATAAAAAAGGAATGAATAGAGAGTCAAACTTTTGTGTTCTATTTAATGTACTAAAAGATCTTCAAAAATCTACTCACGTGGCATACTCCAATAAATGTTGAGATAGATTATTATGACCAATGGAGTATGGGCAGATTTAGTATTGGTTTATGGATGAATACCAAACAAAACTGTAAAAGTACCGCTTGAAAATTTTGCAAGTTGCTTAAACTTTGGAACCAAAATTAAGTCGATGTACAGGGTTTAGGATTAAAAGTAACATTTTAAATTCTAGTCTCTCTGCAGAACCCTATATCAAATATTATTTCCTTCTGTTGAATTCTGGTGGGCTTATTTGATAAACCTGTTGGAACATCTTGGAGGGGACTACTTACATATGTACAATATTTCAATAAATTCTAGTCTGTGTGTGTGTATTAAAATATATATTTCTGATTAATTTATGGTTTAAAGTATAGTTTTAGCTTCAAATAATTTTAAATGTCTCGCAAAACTCATTATATCATATGGTCTTGCACTACTGATACAGTTATTACGGTCCAATTTACAACATGAACTACACGTTTCTAGGAATTCTACTACTACAAAATTTTGTGAATTGCATGTCTAGGAGATCCTGTAGCTTGTACTGAGTAGAAACTTTTGGGGCCTGCTTTTCCGTACTCCAAAGTTTTAAGCTAAGAACAATGTGAAAGTTCGTTGTAGGATACTTACTAATGTTACATAATGAAGCCAAAAAAGGAGACAAAGTTAACCCTTCATGTCCCTCAGGGTCTTATTTACTGTTCTATTATCTGAAATTGGAATACTCATTTTGTAATATTTGCAGGTTTCTTTTGTTTTCTCTTGCCAAGTGGATGGGAAGCTTGTGCCTGTTGAATCAACACTAAAACCAAAACAGGAGGTGGAAAATAGAGAGTTGTCTCATTTCAAAGAAAAGCTTTTGAAAAAGTCCAATTTTTCATCTCCACGACGAGCACCATCATTACCAACATTGTCATCAAGCAAGCAATCCAGCGAGAAGGAAAATTCAATTCAGAAACTGAATTTGATATCGCAAGCTCAAGCGCTGTCAACATCAACATCAACTCCTAATGAAATTTCTCTGAGTACATTACCTGCATTTTTCAAACCTTTGCAAAAGCCAAGAAGCAAGCTATATAGACCTTTAGAGGATACTAAAATAAACTTGAAGAACAAACTCTTTTCCGAGAATCATTTGCCCAGAAAGAGATTATCTCCTGATTACATAAATGATGATGATTTTGCCTAGATTTTTGTTCCTTTGCATTGTTTCCTTCAAATGTTTCACGTTACCTGGCTACAATTTAACAATTTCCGGAGCTATCAAACCAGTCCTATGTTTCAATTATACCGGGTTCTCAGTAATGAACCCAAGTAGCTTCTTGTGGAGGCATTTGATTGGTGAAATATTTACACTGAAGGCATGGCAAAACATTTGATGGTATGTACCATTCTTCTGGCTTCAATTAGGGAACAATCACATTAGTTGATTCTTATGTTTTGCAGATATTTCTTATTTTCTCCCATTGTGGCATGCTGGAAGGAGACTTCTTGATACGCAGGTTTTATCTTCATATATACAATGGACAAACCAAAGTTGAACTTCTATTTGGTTTTTAATTGGGGGCTTTTGCATCTATACCCAGTTTTGGGGTCAAAATTGAATCTATACCCATTTTGCAAAAACATTTGCAAGCCTATTCACTTTATGATCAACTTCAGACTTATCGGGTCTGAAGTTAAAAATAAATTAGTCTGAAGTGAAAAAATTGCAGTTCAGATGCATTTAAGGCCAAATAGGTCTGAATTGCAACCAATGGTTTCATATACTTAAGACCAATAAGTCTGAAGTGAAAAATTGCACTTCAGATGCACTTAAGGCTAAAAGGTTTGAATTGCAACAAACGTTTTCCTACACTTAAGGCCAATAAGTCTGAAGTGAAAAATTACACTTTAGATACTCTTAAAGCCAAATAGGCCTGTAGTGTAATCAATGACTTCATGCACTCAAGGCCAATAAGTCTAAAGTGAAAAATTGCACTTCAGATGCACTTAAAGCCAAAAGGTCTGAAGTGAAACAAACATTTTCCTGCACTTAAGGTCAATAAGTCTGAAGTGAAAATTTGCACTTTGATACACTTAAGGCCAAAAGGTCTGAAGTGCAACCAACGTACAGAAATTTGTTCTTCGAATTTTAACAATCCAATATACGATTTAGTACCTAAATCTATTCTAAATGAGCTCAAATTTGAAATATAACATCCAAATATCATCAAGAACAAACCCCAATCATCAATTTGTCAAAATAACAATAAATCTAACAAACCCAGTTTGCAATTAAGAAGAAGAAACCCTAAGCAATAGTAAAAAATAAAGCGCAACAACAGCTCACCACTGTAAAATATCATAAACTACCTTAAAATATATTCACAAATACCATATAAAATCACTGTCACCCGAAGAAGGAGAAAAAGAAGAAAAAAGAGGAGAAAAAGGCCTGAAGTTGTTTAAAAAGTGGATACAAGTTAAAAAAAATATTAAAAAGTGGGTGCATATTAAATGAGGACGACCAAATAGGGCGTAGGTGCAATTTTTGCGTTTAATTGCATTTGTCCATTTTGATGGGTTGGCCCATTCTTCTGGCCTCAATTCAGGGAACATTGCCTATAAGGATTGACATTAGTCAATTCTTATCTTCTGCAGATATTTCTTGTTATCTCCCGTTGTGGGATGTCGGAAAGAGACTTTTTGATATGCTCTCAGTAGTAATTGATTTCACCACTTCTTGTTGAGGTTTGTGAATTGTATTTGTTCATTCGAGTCTTTGAAATGAAATAGGGAGAGCATTTAAGGCCAAAAGGTCTGAAGTGAAAAATTGCACTTTAGATGCACTTAAAGCCAAATAGGCCTCCAGTGTAACCAATGACTTCATGCACTCAAGGCCAATAAGTCTGAAGTGAAAAATTGCACTTGAGATGCACTTAAAGCCAAAATGTCTGAAGTGCAACAAACGTTTTCCTGCACTTAAGGTCAATAAGTCTGAAGTGAAAATTTGCACTTCGATGCAGTTAAGGCCAAAAGGTCTGAAGTGCAACCAACGTTTTCATGCACTTAAGGCCAAATAGGCCTGAAGTATATATTGCCCAGAAACAGAAATTTGTTCTTCGAATTTTAACAATCCAATATACGATTTAATACCTAAATCTACTCTAAATGAGCTCAAATTTGAAACATAACATCCAAATATCATCAAGAACAAACCCCAATCATCAGTTTGTCAAAATAACAATAAATCTAACAAACCCAGTTTGCAATTAAGAAGAAGAAACCCTAAGCAATAGTAAAAAATAAAGCGCAACAACAGCTCACCACTGTAAAATATCATAAGCTATCTTAAAATATGTTCACAAACACCATATAAAATCACTGTCACCCAAATAAGGAGAAAAGAAGAAAAAAGAGGAGAAAAAGGCCGAAAGTTATTTAAAAAGTGAATAAAAATTAAAGAAATATTAAAAAGTGGGTACGTGTTAAATGGGGACGGCCAAATAGGGCGGCGTGCAATTTTTGATTTTAATTGCATTTGTCCATTTTGATGGGTTGGCCCATTCTTCTGGCCTCAATTCAGGGAACATTGCCTATAAGGATTGGCATTAGTCAATTCTTATCTTCTGCAGATATTTCTTGTTATCTCCTGTTGTGGAATGTCAGAAAGAGACTTTTTGATATGCTCTCAGTAGTAATTGATTTCACCACTTCTTGTTGAGGTTTGTGAATTGTATTTGTTCATTCGAGTCTTTGAAATGAAATAGGGTTTAAGGTCAAAAGGTCTGAAGTGAAAAATTACACTTTAAATGCACTTAAAGCCAAATAGGCCTCCAGTGTAACTAATGGCTTCATGCACTCAAGGCCAATAAGTCTGAAGTGAAAAATTGCACTTCAGATGTACTTATAGTCAAAAGGTCTGAAGTGCAACAAACGTTTTCCTGCACTTAAGGTCAATAAGTCTGAAGTGAAAATTTGCACTTCGATGCAGTTAAGGCCAAAAAGTCTGAAGTGCAACCAACGTTTTCATGCACTTAAGGCCAAATAGGCCTGAAGTGCATATTGCCCAGAAACAGAAATTTGTTCTTCGAATTTTAACAATCCAATATACGATTTAGTACCTAAATCTACTCTAAATGAGCTCAAATTTGAAACATAACATCCAAATATCATCAAGAACAAACCCCAATCATCAATTTGTCAAAATAACAATAAATCTAACAAACTCAGTTTGCAATTAAGAAGAAGAAACCCTAAGCAATAGTAAAAAATAAAGCGCAACAACAGCTCACCACTGTAAAATATCATAAACTACCTTAAAATATGTTCACAAACACCATATAAAATCACTGTCACCCGAAGAAGGAGAAAAAGAAGAAAGAAGAGGAAAAAAGGCCTGAAGTTGTTTAAAAAGTGAATATAAGTTAAAAAAAATATTAAAAAGTGGGTATATGTTAAATGAGGACGACCAAATAGGGCGTCGGTGTAATTTTTGCTTTCAATTGCATTTGTCCATTTTGATGGGTTGGCCCATTCTTCTGGCCTCAATTCAGGGAACATTGCCTATAAGGATTGGCATTAGTCAATTCTTATCTTCTGCAAATATTTCTTGTTATCTCCCGTTGTGGAATGTCAGAAAGAGACTTTTTGATATGCTCTCAGTAGTAATTGATTTCACCACTTCTTGTTGAGGTTTGTGAATTGTATTTGTTCATTCGAGTCTTTGAAATGAAATAGGGAGAGCATTGACAGTACATCTCTTCCCCACCCTCCCCACAACAAAAGTAGATATTATAATACTGCAACGAACAAACAAATTAGGCAAAGGTGCCCATAGCATCATGTGCAATCCAACTAGGGTAAAAGTGCTCTAGAGATACTTCTTTCAAAAAAGTAATAAAAAACTTAGCTAAGTTGTGTGCTAGTAATTTTGATTTCTAGGAATATAAACAATGTGTACATTATTAAGCAAAGTTGATAGCTTCCACATGTCTTCACAAGCTGCTTCTATCTCCAATGAGGCAGTAAATTTTGATGTCAAATAGCTCAAAAACCCAGTAGTCTCCCAGTAGCTCAAAAACGCAGCGAAACAAGAATAACAACAACAAACCCAATAGTCTCTCACGAATGGGGTCTGGGGAGGGTAAGATGTACCTCTACCCCTGGAAGAGCAGAGTAAAAGCGCAGCGAAAACGTACCATAAATACAGTCATGAAATTAACCCCGAATCGACCCTTTTTTCATCGAAAATTGCTGCTTAATAATCCCACTATTTCAGCAACATAAAACCAGCCTCGTACCACCGAAAACTACCCCAAATCAGTGTGAAAATAAGCCCGAAATCACAGTCCAAACCCAGTTGAGTTGAGTCTGTTCGGGGTTGTCGATTCCGATTCGAGTTTCTAGTTCATAGTTTCGCTTGAGGATTACTGTTTTGGAGCTTCTCTTTCACTGTACCCGTTGTATAATTCCAGCAATAAAGGTCTGTTCTTTCATTTTTTCACTGGTTATTTCATCTGCGTGTTTTGTTATTTGTTTGCATAAATGAATAGACTACATGAAACTTTAATTCGTTTGATTGACGCACGTGGTGGCAAGCGGGTTCAACTGAATCCGCTTCATCAAAAAATAATACTGTGTATATGTATAAATTAGGATTAAAGCTGCGTAAATTTTGTATAAATATTTTATTTGAACCCACTTAACAACTACTATTTTACGACTAAAGTTATATACTTCTAAGATTGAACCCGCTTGCACAAAATCCTGAGTCCGTCAGTGTTGATGCTTGGTCGTTTAATTTGATTATTTCTTTGTTAACTGAGTTTATGGTTGAATTTTTATTTGGTTTAATGTTTAGAGTGAGTTTCTAGCTTTCTGTTGCTATGCTTTACTAGAAATAGATAACCGTAGTATTTTAATTTTGACAATAATTAGTTATGGCTATAAAATAAGTAAAGGGCTAAATGTGGCAAAATTGGTTATGTGGTAAATAATTGGTGCCAAAATGAAATGGGCTAGATCTGGAGCTTAGTACAAAAGGCCTTCAAATATCATTTTTGGGCCAAGAACGACTTTGCCTAGGCCCACCTATCCCACTTCAGTTTTGGCCTATTCTCAATAGCTTTACAAGTCAGCCCATTTCTTATAAATTAATGAATCGTCTGAATTCTTCTAGTTCGGGAAGATGATTAAACTCAATAATCTCAGAATTAGTAAATGAACAACTTTTGAACATTCGTAACTTGATTTAGGCACGATCAATAATAAATTATCGTGACTATGGTTACGGTTCCCGTGGCATAGTCATGATATATAATTCTAAATCCAAGTGCACGTTTGCGTGGCTTGCCCTTATAACTTCAAAGTAACAATAAAATTAAATATGTTATAAATTGCGGGTGCGTTTCACGCGGCGTGATTTACGACGTGTATAAAATGACAAGTGTACGACATCGTA